ATTATCTTTAAAATATGTAAGCACTACCAGGTACAGAGGGCATAACGGGGATTTGTTTATTTTGGGAAGGGTGAAGAAACGTGCGCCACTGGTGGCTTCCATCACTAGTGCACCAATGGGTGAATTAGTGCCATATCCTTCTTTATGAGATGGAGGACAGAAGAGAGAGCAGTAGTTTTCCTCTTCTGACCACACTTTACAAGGCAGAAAGGCTTCACGAGGCAGGGAAGTACAGTGGAGAGTTCTGCCTTCTTTTGACTTAACGCAGAATTAGTCTTTATATGGAAGAGAGACATTCTGTAATGCTAACTGCAAGAAAGTAAGCGAGCAAGCCACTTATAATCATTCAGCTGCCACTTCACACCCCATGGCTACTGCTGAGAAGCTCTGTCACTCTGAAGGGCCCAGTTAAAGTTCCCCAAAATATGACTCAGTTTTTATGTCCCCTGCTGCACTTCAGACATATATCTTAGTATTGACTAAACACGCAGTATCTTTTGCCTTATTACTGTTACAGGTGACTGCCTGCCTGTTATTGCCCAACTGCTGATTACCTTTATATCCCCAGACTTACATTTTAATCCTGCCGAACCTTAAAACACTGCTTTATGTGACGGCAATTTCATAACTGCAGACTGCTGCGGACTGGGGTAGGTAGTACTGCTGACTTCAGCCATGTACTGCTACGGTAACAGTGGTGTGTGAGTCATGGACAGATCAAATTCCTTTCTATAAATACTCTAGTTAAGCTGCTTTGTTCTTATATTATAACAAATAGACAAACAAACAGATGAAAACTGTACCGATAGATACATTACTAACTCAGAGGCAGTTAACAACTGTAGACTACAAATTTCACAGTGGCAACGCGTATGATGGTGTAGTACTATCTTCATGGTAGATGATTAAGGCAGTAAATGGAACTTGGTGAATTAACCTTTCCTGGCAGAGTGAAGCACCCTTCTCTAAGCTGAACCAGATTAATGCACTACTTTGGAATATTTCCAACTCTGTTTTTAATGCAATAGGCCATTCTCTCTCTTTTTTTTTTTTTTAATCGTTATTACATTATAGATGAGTAACTAGGAAATATGAGCCACTCAGCATGGAAGTGTAAAATACAGAGCATCACTGATTACAACCATTTCATAAACCCAAATGTGATGGTTGATTCTTACAGACAGCCTTACGATGCACATAACAATGTTAATAAGTGGCTGTTATACCTCTTCTTAATTTAATTTTTTCCATCTGGATGTGTATGTGCAGAAATATCATGTATCTTCAAACATACTTCTTCATATTGATGCTACTGGAAAAAAATTCTGCCTGAATGGGTTAGAGTTTTTGAGGGTTTTTCATGTGCTGTCCTATGGTATTACAGTAAGATACAATTAAACCTGATCCCCCTTTCCATATCATCATATAGGTCACATGTTTGTATCACAACTAATTACCCTTAAAACAAGTTTTCAAGACAGTTGCACCTATTTCAATAAGCAGCAACCTGATTTTTGCTTGCAGTTCACGATAAATTGTGATTTATCATATGAATCACTTCCGGAAGTCATTACTCTGCTTTAATTTAATCAAGTAGTTAACTGATAAGGAGGGGCTACAGTGTTTTATCCCTGATGTAGACATGCAAGAAATATAGTAACACCGGATATTAGACTAAGTCCAACTAATTAAAAAAGCCCTAAGGGAAAAAACAAACATACAAAACAATTCATGCAGACAGGTAAATTATCCAATAAAGATGACTTATTTTAAAACAAAAACAAGATTTGATATAGTCTACGCAGTCACAGTATTGATTCTACCACTAGAACTGTTAGACCTTAATCCTGATAAAATTGTTGGATTTATATCTGATTACATGATTTGTGAATTTGGCTAAAACTGCATAATGGAATTTAAAAGAGGTCTGACAGAAATGTGGATGAATACCTGGCCACAGTTTTATTGACAACTCTTGGTTCTTGGTATGTCAAAAATAACTTAAGTAAAGCAACACGGAATGAGAAAGTCGGGGCATTCTAACTTTACTTCTAGCTCCAGTATGAGGTCTGAATAACTGCAGTATAAATAATTCATATTCTTTCAAGCTTGCTTTACTGATTCAGTACATGTGGGTTATTTTCTAAGCAACCTCAGCCTGATTCTGATTCTGACATCACTAATATCAGGTTAGATGTCACTGATTTCAAATGGTCAAACTAGAACACGACTCCTCATCCCAAGCGCGTTCATTCTTTCTCAGCGATAACCGAAGGAAACAGTGTTTCAAGGTATTGTCTGTCAAAAAGAACCAAAGCCCTTTAGACCTGTAATCTGCATACACTTACCTTTTATGTACCACCTTGTGGCTTCAGGATTTATTCTTATGTAAAGTGAAGAGCCTGACGAAGATTAACTAAGTGTTGAGGCCAAATTACAGGCAAAGAACTGAGACTAAATGAAATCAGTAAGCAATTTGGTCCACTTTCATATGACAGACTTCTCATAGAATTATTTCTAAATTACGCATAATCTTATTTCAGACCTGATCAACTGGAAAGCTAACGAATATCCTCAGTCTGCACTGTAAATTAAAGAGTTCAGAATGTCATGGGGCAAAGCAGCACCTTAAAGAAATGAGCTACAGGTTTGATCAGTCAAAGGGTAGGCCATTGTTTTATCAGGGAGAAGAGTATGAACTTTGCCCTCATATTTAGATTTAAAGTGCTGTGTTAATAAATCATATAGTCTACTGGGAAAATTGTTTAGTCAGTAAGCAAAGCATCAGGAAGTTTAAAAAAAAAAAAAAAGAAAAAAAGAAACTGGCTATAACATACAGCACAGTACATCTAGAGAGTTTCCTGCACCTGACAGCACACAGCAATAGAAACATTAGTTTATTCTGGAGCCAAATGAACGCTAGGCTTAAGAGTCACATTCCAAAGATGAAGGAAATGCTTAAATAGTAGTTTATACAGTGGATCTTGCAGAAAACCTTTTTATGTAAGATCACAGGGGAGAACATACTCATGGATGTGTCTGCAAAGAATAATGTTTCACTAATATTGTCTGATATACAAAGCTTAACAGCAATGATTACTGTATTGCAAAACACCCACGAGATAGGAGGAATCCAAGCTCAAAATGGAAGAAACAAGTTAGAGCTATTGCTGGTGGCATTTAATACAGCTCTTGCTGCACTGGTGCAACAACTCAACAGTCCATGCACATCTGGTTTTTGTTTGTTAACTATGTATCTATTTCATTTGGCTCTTTTTGAGATAGATGTATTTGCTAATATAACTCATTAATAACTTACTATTTATAATTCAAGCCTTACTCATTATTCTGAATCTTTACTATGCAATTCTACATACTGAGACAAATCCCCAGCCCCCGCAGGCATGCTCTCCACCCAGAACGCGCACTGATTTTCCAGTTCTATTGCACTCTTTGGACTTCTGTCACACTATTTGGGATTTTCTGAAAGAGCATTTTCCCCTTCCTGTGACACAGCGCGTTTTGATCCCTTTCACAGGAAGGAAATGACCACCTTTTCCAGTCCAGCAGAGCAATTTCTGTGCCTGGAACTGCATTTGAGATTCCTTTAATGTGCTGCTATGAAATGAAAAGGACCTACATGCTCAACAGTGAAACTTTATAACTATGCGATCTTTTAAGTAGGTAAAGTTTAAAGTATTACTATTTGCATTTTATAGTGTTACAGCATTTAGTAGCAAGTGCCAATATTTCATAAAATGTGTCATTTAATCCATGCCTATGAAAGAGGTAAACCATTATAAGGAAGATACACATAAACGCACTTCTTTCATTGTACTTGGCTATTTGGAAATATGGGTCTACTTACACTAATGGAAACTCACTGTGAGTTATACGGTCAAACCAACAAAAGATACTGTGTGGAACCCATCACTAGGGAGAGTTGTGATGAACACAACAGCATAACATTAGTATTAGAAATTAGGGGAAAAAAGAATTGAAAAATAGAGAAGAGAATGAAACGATCAATAAAAGGGAGCACAGGCAAACACACAGAACATCAGCATTTTGAATAAGCTTGCAGTTAGCAACTTTAAAAGAAACTATATTAAAATGTGTTTCTGTACCTATATTTTGTTGCCACACGAAAAAAAGTTCTATTTCAGGTAAGAAGATACCTAATCCCACATGGAATTTCAGTTAACTCATAAAAAATTATGGATAAGTTAGTTTAATTATATTTACAGAAACACAAATTTACTTATTTATTTATGAATAAGCTCCTAATCCGACAATCTACCAGATGCCTGTATTTGGAAAATTCCACTAACAGCAGTGGAAGGCTATAAAACATGTAGTAGGGCCATGAGTTATTTTGATACGCGTCTTCCTTTCTCCCATCTCCTCTTCTCCCACTTAAGCAGTGGTCACAAGGATTGCTGAGTGCAGAAAGAAGTAGGGCCTGATTCACCTCTTATTAGCTTGGCTTCACATTCCTGTAAATTCACTGTCTTTCATAGGGTTTATTCCTAATTTATTAAAGCATCAGAAGAAACTGGAAGTTTGAGGAGAAAAATCTGTTATTCAAGGGCTGAGAGCTGAACGCCATCTAAAAAATTATTTCTCACTCAATCAAAGAGTATTATTCCCCTGAGGATCTTATGCCCTCTCAGTTGCTCAAATTACACTAAAAAGGAATATTTGCACGCATTACAAAAGTTCTTGAAAAAAACAGTTCTTGTACATTAGACTGGATTTTGCAGTTGTTGCAGCAGCAAGACCTGCACCTACTCTCATGAAGAGCTGAGCCTGAGTGGAGACAGCAAACGTAAATTCCTAGAGAATAAACTTTCAAAATCACATTCAGAAAAGCAGACTATATTACGTATCCAGCATGTGAAACAGCAAGGCACAGGGTTCAATGAGAATGACGTTCCCGAGTACCTTTGACGATGTAGCCTGCCATGTCAACTGGGTAGTGGTATACTGCAGCTAGTTTTCAGTCATGTTCATGGACAAAATTTCTTAAAGCAATAACACTACAATATTACACTTGTATGCCCTAAAATCTCAAACCAGATTTATTTAAAGAAAAAAAAAAAAAAAAGAACTTTCACCCCAGGACATGACCATCTAGATCTGCCTGAAACAAAAATCTTTAAGAAATCCTTAAAAATACCTGTACGCCCACGCTATATATAAAACCAATTACAAAGCAGTATTCTACTTTTGCCACCTGAACTTCCTTTTTAATCTCATACAAAAACATCCAAGCATCTGAAATCAGAATTCCAGTTCCAGGTGAACAACAACAATATGTTTTCTCGTGATTTTTTGTCTGAAATCAGAATAATTTGAAGAAAAGTATCTTCTCACCTCCAGTAACTGTGAATTCCAAGATTACAGAAACACACATTGGAAAAGCAGAATTGTTAACATAAACGGATTTTGCAGGAGTCCAAAGGGTACCAGATATACTTTGTAGGTACAACATATTTGTGTAAGACACGTGTTTCAGTTCCTTTGTACTGGACTTTGTCTTTAAAAGGAAAATGTTTGTATATTCCTTTTCTGGCTGTTTCATACCTTTATGACATTGTTGAAGGTTAAATTGCTACAGAATCATTCAGAAAAACAAAGCAATAGGCTGCTGAGAAAATGAAAGGAATATCAAGAAAATATCCTGTTATTTTATGTCTTCCCCCTTCTCACCTATATCTGACTGCCAAAATTACCAAGACAATCAGATTGTGTTTAACTCAGTCTGGTTTAAATGGAAGACCAATAAACTGGGAGGGAGGGGGCAATGGTGGAAGCTAGAGGGAAGCAAAGACTTTTTATTGATCCATATATTATAGAAAGATCATTTTTAGCTTAAATATAGTCTCTCTTGTGAAATATTCTGGACCCTGATAATTCTAAATAAGAGATTTTGAGAAAATGGTATTCGTATTAATTAAAAATCAATATCTAAGAGGGACAGTATAGCATACAACACTCCATTCTGAAGAACAGAACAGTAAGCAGTACTAAATGCCGCACATTCTTGATGTATCAATACAATTTTCCTACCTTTTCCATTCTTTTTGAGCTATGCGTATAATATAGTGGTTATAAGAAAGCACAGTCATAAAGGTAAGTTACCGGCCATCTAATTTAATATACAAAGTACTAGATATATTTCAGTGGTGTTTACCAGTTCCAGGAAGAATACTGAAAAACAAATGTTAAATTTTCTAACTATCCTTCCCTTAAAACTTCAAAAAGATATCGCTATTTCAAACACTCTCTAGCACTGATCTGTATTTTTCACATATTAGATATTCCAAAGGAAAAGTTCAAGGAAAAGCTGTTGTGTCATGCAGGTAGGGACTATTTGACATACCATGCAGAGAAGGACCATTCCACACAAGGAAATAATCTTACCCAGCAAATTCTCCACCTTGGGCTTGTGCCTGGCCTGCAATTGCATCCATGATAGCATCCTGGGAGTACATGCTGATCGGGGTGTTATACTGGGCGTGAATTATGGTAGCCTTGCCACCCAGGCCTTTCACCTCAATGGGTTTGTGTGTAGACAGGGCCGAGTCCTTCAGGACATTGGGGTTGAAACGTTCCACAAACTCCGTACTGGGTTATGCACAAGTGAGGTTCAAAAGGGAAGAGAGGGGAAGAAAGGACAAAGGGGTGACGATTAAGTGAGAAAAAAAAGAACTAACAGAGGACTGTACATGTGTCTTCATGGCATCTCACCACAAAAGCTTCCGCTCAGAGACAATAGAACAAGTAACTGTTAAAAGCTGGCTGCAGCAATGGGTGAAATTTTTTGTGTTGGCTCTCAGATGCGTAAACAGAAAAAAAGGTGAAACAGTTGTCATTTTATACATCATCATGAGAAATCGCTTAGTATTTCTGTGATATTTACACATAAAAGTCTATTATTACATGCATAAATACATATAATTGTATACATATATATATACACACACGTATATATGCATGCACACGGATGTACCTACATACTTCAGACATTTCCCAGTTTATTCACTACACCTATTCATTCTTTCATATGGATCTTACAAAGTGCTAGAAAGCGCAATGTGGTGAACGTATGTCACATTCCCTATTATTTAGATGGTTACAACGTTTTCTGCATGGATGTATCATAGTGAAATTTAGTACTCATGCCTTTTAATCTTCGAAGCTCTCTTCACAGATACTAATTCATCTTCACAAAAACCGCCGTGCAGACTGTCAGAAGTGTTGCTATAGCATGATATATTCGCTGAAAAATTGGTCTTAGATTAAAATATCCTATACTGCAATCTATGGGACAACTGCAGTTGGAAGAGTTGTAATCGTATTTTCTAGTGGCTCCATTTATGAGTAACGATTTTTATTTGAGCAATTGAACCATGGGCAAGTTCCCTGAAGTTCCCATAGCAATAGAAAGAGCCAGTTCAATGTCAGACTTCAACTTAAAAGCACCTGCCTTCCTGGTACTGCCTAGCTGTATAATGTTATAGTCCTAGAGTCAGGACTTTTATTGAAGTACCTAAACCTCAGACTGTCATTCATCGAGGTAGGTGCCCTTCTCTAACTTCTGGGAGACCAAATTGTTCTCTAGTCTGCTGTTCCTTTCCTTCCAACAGCAGGAGGATGTCAGTAGTACAGATTCTGTACACTAATCAGAGCTGGGCAAAACTGAAGATTTTGTTCTTTGGGAAATAAGGCTATTTCACAATGGTTTGATTTTGAACTGAACCAAAAGCTAGAAATGGAAAAAAGAAATTATGAAAATGTAATCCAGCTTGATTAGACTGATTTTCATTTTCAGTTTAAAGCAGTTTAAAGCATCAGAAGTTTATCTTATAATACAAAGTCTTTCACCGAATTCTTCATGTTTCTAAACAACAACTTCTCTGGTGGCTAAGGGAACAAAGGCGAGAAGCTCTGGCTGCACTTCCTGTCTGTCATGGTTTAGCTGCAGTGGGTGTCTGAGAAATAAATCTGAACCCTCAACCTTGCATGGAGGAAAAAGAAAAATTAAGTAAAGTTGGAAGCCATCTGACTTAATCTTCCACTGATTATCAAAGGTGAGGTGCCACTTCTGCAGCTAGCCAGTGGATTCCATCATATTTTCAGCATTTTGTTTGTGGGATGCCCTGACTGAAGACAGACAGTAAGAGAGATACAGTCATGCATCATTCAAAATACTTGAAAGAACATTAACAGCAACATGCTTAAGGAACAAAGACATAGATACGCACCTGCTGTATTATATTTACAGCTTTTAACACACACATCAACATCATAAGGGAGGGAAACGGGTGGCTGCATTATGCATTCAGGCAAAAGTGAAAATCAGCTTTTTACAAAGATATTTTCACATTTTATTTATTTTTTCATTAACTCTTTTACCAACTATGACATCATTATTAAACTGACCTCATCTGTTGAAGGGTGACATGCAGAGATGAGTTTTTATACTCACTGTTGACTTCTCAGCAGGCACATGCCTTACTCTAATGATGGTTTCTCTTTTCTTTGTAATATACTAAATCAGATAATTTGGAACACATACGTCCTCGAGATTTTGAATTTAGTGTTCTCTTTTCCCCTCACTATTATAAGTATTGAAGAGATTCTAAACCAAAGACCTGAGAAGACTGCGAAGTAAACAGATTGAGGTAAAATTTGCTACTTTTTAAGAATATAAAACAAAGCAACTGGTTTTAACAATCAGTTAAAAAATAAAAGTTAGATTTATCTAGATCTAAAAGAAGATCTTAGAACAGCCTAAGCTTCCCTAGCAGCAGCAGCAGCAGCAGCAGCAGCAGCAGCAGCAGCAGCAGCAGCGATTTAGGCTTTGACTCATGTAATTTAAATAGTTTCAATGATCTCTTTCAACAGGATTTAGTCTTATTGCACATACCAAAGCAAAACCTTTACTGAAATCAACAAGATTTCCATAGAAAGAACAGAAAAGGGTACAGATTATCAACTGCAGAGTTCTTATTATAGCTCTGGGAATGAGCAGAGATATTAACGCCTGCAAGGGCTGCTGTGCTCTAGGACTAAGTACCAGAGGTACAATCCTAGAGACAGCTGGAGCAATTGTGCAAATGAATGTTATTTTATGCCAAGCTGGAAAAAAGCGTATTAGTGATCAGGCGAAACAAATATGAAAGAAAGTAAGATAAAATCCCTATAATGTGACTTCTTTCCAAGGCAATAGTAACATAATATTTATCAGTGTAAAGCAGCAAGAGCTTCTTGGAATCCAAAGCAGTTATATCATTTTCATGATATTACACCCATGCCCTACTGTAATCAACAAAGAAAGCTAGACCAGTGCAAATTATTTTCACTAAATAGTATGTTTATGTTTATGTATTCTACTGCTTCTATTCTTCTCCTATCAGTTTAAATTTGACATTTATTTTATTGCTGAATTTAGCCCAATATCTTGAGCAATCTCTGCAGAGTATTCATTCCAGAGACGGAAAGCAGGAATTTAGAAAGAATGCTCTGCCCTTATTTAGAAAACTAAAGATGAAAGCTGAGGATTTCATAATTTTCCCTAAATAAAGTCGATTAATCACTATTTCAAGTCTACAGTTCCTACTTATTTGACCACAATTTTTAGTAAGGTCAGTTACTTTTTAGATCTTTTCAATACTAGTATTTAATACCAGCAAATGCCACAAATGTGAATTTTAGTGGAGCAGGACTTCAAAAATTAACTTAAAAGTTACGGCTAAAAATACATCATTAAAAATATAATAAAAAAAGGCTATGACTAAGACTTCCCAAATCCTGACAGCTTGAAGACCACTTGAAGAGTTAGGTGGAATTATACCCTGACTGTAGAGACTAAGAAATCTGAAAGTATTTGCAAGAATTGAGCACCTCAAATTCTAACTACACTTGCAGTATTAGAACATTACCATGAAACGCTGAGCACATGGTATTCTTAGAAGAGAGCCACCAATGGATGCCAGTAGCAGTGTATGACACTTGCCATACCAGTAAGATTTTTTAAAGTATTTCCACTTGCAAGCCGACACAGCAGGAACACAAGGGATCATGCTACCCCAGAAAACAAATCTTCACACATACAGAGTAACACAAATACTTGGCACTATACAGAAGTGATACTAACTTGGAAGTGGTGTTGGTTATGACCTAAAAGAAGAGAAAGAGAACAAACAACATCAAAACCAACCAAACAGAAATTGTCAATAGTTTTTAGAGTGCAAAGGGCAAGAGGTACTTACAAAAGCTTATTGAACCTTTTTTTTCAGACCGTCTACAAATAGGAACAGAAAGTAAATGCATGCCTGAAAACCCCAACACGATTAAGAAAGGAAAAAATGTAGGGATTATAGTTTATCCACTAGGATTTAGTTGGGTGCCATGGCATTTTGGCTGACCCTTGAATGTGATTTTAGTACTGTGCATCCCTGGAAGTACTTTTAGCCCAGAAATACTGCTATCAAAGCGCACGGTATCAAAAAATAGGAGATATATTTGCAGAATAAAGTCTCATCTAAAAATAGTAAATGAGTGGTAGAGATTATATTCTTCCCTCAGATACTAAATATTCAGGGATGAGTCTGTTCTCCTCAGGCTGCCCTCAGAGAGTCACTCTTGCAAGACTGATCTTCTGGCCTTTTATTTGCTGGAGAATAGCCAAATAAAATATCCATACATGTTTTAAATCTCAAACTAAGGTCAAAACCTTTCTGCTTAACAAACTATTGGCCAAAATTTAACTGCATTTATATTATGCCAACAGTGGCATAAGCGAATTAATTTCAGCATAGTCATTTCCAGTTTACTCAGTGTGAAAGAAAAGGGGTAATCCAGTCCATGCCATCTGTATCTTTTGGATATCCATATCAGGATATTCACTCCATCTGCTACGTACAGAGTATGAAAAAACAGACGTTCATGATACATCCTACTCTGCTCCACGAACAAGAAGTAACTGTGGCTTGCACAGTAATCCCAAAGAAATACAATACAAAACTCAAAATGCAGGCCTTAGGCCAGCCAAAGCTAGGAACAACGAAGAGATAATGTGCTCAGGCTGTAATGTCACATTACTTGTCAGTAACTCCACTGGTTGCAAGAGTAGCATTAATGGGCTATGACGTCTATTTTCGCTTGGTTTCTATAAAGCTTAGAATATCCATTTTTTGTTATTCTTCTTGGATGAAGAGTAAATTCATCGTAGTATGCATAAAGAAAAATGGAAAAGAGTCCAGGATTAACATCACTCCTCATTTAGCTGCACAGAATACCATTGACAGATCTAGGCACTGAGCCTACCAACTTGCTGCTGTAACATTTCTGGATCTGGAGTGGATATGGGATTGATACACAACAGCGAGTGACATTCACAGTGTATTTGTCTCTGTCCACCTTTGTCTCAGGGAACCTTTGGTATTACTGCTTCTTTTTACAAAGTCCTTCTACAATCGGCTCATCCGCCTGTATTTTTCATGATCAAAAATGTTTCTAATGAGCCAAAGACACAGTAAAGGCTCTGCACTTTTGCACTTCCTTGGAAAAGCAGTCACAGATCACTTTCTGCAGTTACTGTTCTTCAGACTCTCAGATTTGAGAATATTCTGTGAACTATACAAACCCTGCACGAAGCCAAATATATCAGTCTTTTGCAGGAAACACTAGAGATATATTAGGAACAACTTGTAACCTGTAAGCACACCAGTGATCCTATATCCATTTTAGGTATTTACAAGACAGCTGGGCACTTGCTTCCAATCAAACATGGTGTAGTAGTATCATATTCTGAAGTGCACTCTGATGGCTGCTGCCAACGTCTAACCCAAGTCTCCGCCTTGCACATGAAATAACATTTTCAAGGTAGAAGTAGAGTCCTTAAATTAGGCCTTAAAGAAAGGAACCACTTATTTGCCTATTAAAATATATTCAAAGATAAAAACATTATGTGCACCCACTAAGAACAACTCAACAGTCATATGTCTCACCAAAGAGTTTTTAAATGTGAACAGATTACTGCAGTGTCCTTCAGAAAGCTTTGCTTCTCTTGATGTGCTAGCATGTGATGAGAAAACCCGCTCGTTTAGAGCCACATGATATTTTAGCTTGATTCTAAATATGGGTATGTACTGAAACACTCAACTTGCTCTCTCAAAGAGGTCATACAAGTAAGAAACTACTAACCCAAGCCACCTGGCACATAAACACACGTGGGACAGGCAGTAAATACTGCCTTTGACCTACAATACGAAGTATAACTTATACTGAACCATATGTGAGAAGCTATGGCTCAGTCTTCCTACTTATTAATACTCCCCTTTCCAGAGCTTTCAGCACATGACGTTCTACTTTTAGCAGACCTCCTCTGTATTCTTCTCCTTGGGTCTGTGATAAAGGCTTAATATTGTAAAAGTGTATCAGAGAAACAGATGCTTTGTTATTCTTTAAAAGTCAAGGAAATCCTCTCAACATTAATTTCAGCCTTCTGATAGGATTTTCCAAAGAGTTTAGGCAAACCTCTAACAACATTTCACATGATTAAGTTTAAATGATTCAGTGAAAAGAATAGCAACATTGAAACATAAATATACCCTAAAATCTACCCAATTACCTGAATTCTCTTATAGTTTCAACCATACTGGTAAGTGAATGTGCATGAATGCATAATAAATTGACAGCTTTAGAGCCGCATAATTTCACAATCCTTATACAGCATCTCATGTTGTACTGTATGATAAGAACGTCCAAAAGAAAAAAGCCCAGAGCTGACTCCACAGAACTCACAGTGCCTTTCTTAAGCACTCTTTCATATATATGCACAGTGAGATTGAAACCATCATGGCTGATCTAAAGTCTCAAGATAGTTACAGGTTACAAGAAAGAAGCCTCCCAGTCATGGATAGTGCTCAAGTGGGACAGGGAACGAAAACATTATTGAACTCTAAACTTTCACTGCAAGTAAACAGAGATTTAGAATGCTCTAAATCTCAGAGGAATTATCTGAAAAAAATACCTATATTTAATGGTGGTGGTTCCAAGATAAAACCTTGCTTTGTAATTCAGTGTACTGCCCCTAAACCATAGGTGTGCAGTAATGGAAAATTTGAATTATACTTGGCTGTGAATGTGCACTTATACAGAAGACAAAAAACATATAGAAAAGCAAAAGAGTGAGACAGTGAAGCATTTTCTGCATCTATACTTTTTTTGCACCCCAAGAATCAACAGAACGGTTCGTTGACTTCAGTGAGTGACGGATGCAGCTGTGTTGTGTATAATTTTAATAACAATAAATAGTCAGGAAACTGAGCCATTCAAAATATATCCCCACTACCCCAGCTCTTGCAGATGTTGGGGAGGCATGTGAGCATAGCGGGAGAAAGCGATACGCTCCCAAGAAATGTTGCATATTGCAATGATTCAGGAAACAGTTTTCCACAAGAAAGCTGTAAATGAAGAAAGAATCATTCTGCGCTTTATTTTGCTGACCACGATTATTAATTGTTTTCCTTTAAACACTAATTGCCTTTCTTAATTTTCCAGCGTGAGAAGGAAGTGTAAGACTTGTTCAGATAAGTTAATTAGGATTATTAATGTAGAGTACTGAAAAGAGTTATCTGAAGAGATATTATCTAAATTCTGCATGAATCATCTAAAACATGTAATATGCTCTTTTTAAAGAATAAAATATCCTTACTTTGCTATAACTTAAAAACTTTTGGCTTTACTCGTGCAGAGAGCTTCTGCAGTTGGGTATTAAGTACTAGAAAATATATTTATCAACCTCACGTGGATTGTTTGACTTTTCTGTTTGTTTGCATGTGGCCAGGTCCTTAGTATTGAAATTATATATTTTTTCCCATAATCCTAATAAGGAGCTTCATTTTAGATAAACACAGCTTTCAAGTAAGCAAATCAGAGATTGGTTTGGAAATTAATAAGTGAAGGTAGAAAAGCTAGGAAAACTTATTTCTCACTGCTTTCTCTCACGCAACCCCGCTGTTACATAGGCCACGCTGCTCACTTCACACACCTACCAGTATAACAGTTAATCTGCAATACACTAACACACTGAAAACCTTGATAGCATGGGATTAAATTATCTGGGTAGTAACTACAGCTTATTCCTTCTTATATACAAGTTAATAACAAAGCTAACAGCACTTAGACATGACACACACAATGTTCAAACTAGAGGATTCAACAAATTGCACTTTTGACTCATCTTGCATAGGAAAGCCAATACATTAAGGAAGGAATTATAGCAGTACACTGCAGTAGATTAGCATGTCAGATTTGCTAATCAAAGCAACTTCTCTTTAGGTAAACACCAAAAATCAGACCTCTTTGATAACAGCTTCTATAACGGCCTGTAGTGATATTTGTTCTAGGAGACTACACGCAGTAATTTACACCGGTAAATGCCAAAACCCTGAGGTCATCACAGTTACTTTAGTCGTAGTGTTCCTCCTCATGCTCTGGTGACTAATGCCAACCCATATGGCAACTCAGACACCAAAGACCAAGAGTTATTACGTAACGGTACTGTGTATACCTTTTGGGGGTACTGGAAAATTTAACGATTGCGCCAGAACTTAATCATGATTACAAGATAAATGCACAACAGGGTAGGCACTATTACATTTATCTTTCAGCAAATTCATTACTTATTGGAATATTAAATATTTTACCATGTTACCTACCCTCTAGGAAGTCCACCTTCCGAAGCCCTTCGTTTGAGACTTAATTTATGCATCTCAGCCATTTCCCTTAGAGTCTCTGCTGAGTAAAGGCCAATAGGGTTGTTATACTGCCTTGCAGGGCTCAGTTGGTGTTTAGGACTATTGCCATCAGTGAATACAGGGCTTAGTTTTGAACTTAGATTACTCTTTGCAGGTGAAACATCAGGAGTCACAGCCTGAGAGGACATGGAAGATCTAACTGCGGTAGTCTTTAAATAGGAAGAGCTATTTGAAAGGCTGATCTCTTGCTTGCTGAGGTAGCCTGAAAATGTTCCATTGGTTGCTAAAATACTACCCATAGGCCCGGTCGCCGTGTTAGTTAGAGGACTGAAGGTTGTTCTGTTGCCATTGAATTCCCAAGCAGGTTCCTGTAGTAGCAAACATGCAGGCCAAGAAAAGAAAAAAAGAAAAGAG